GAGTATGTGTTTTGGAAAGAAGATCAAGCTAAGAAACTATGCAATGTTCTCTGTTTTTCATTGCAAAATTCTAGGACAAAGAAAAACAAACATTTCTCTCTTCACACTCTCAGTCTTTGGTTTGTATTGGCTGACTGGAAATGGATTTTTTTTAAATAAATATTTTGGGTTTTTTTTTCATAGATTATGATAATATATTAACTGCAGCCTTGTTAATTTGATAATGCTGAAATATGTGTCAAATTGATTTTATTGTTTCCAAACTACTTCCATAGACCAATATATTCTTGCAGCTATTTTTACCTGTGTTTTGAGAAGCATCGATAAGGTGATATGCATAGAATTCACAACATTGGGGTCCATTTTAACACTCTTCTTGGCCTTTGGTTTTCTGCAGGTGGGGGCTCTGACAAAATCAATGGCAAGTCTCTATTCTTGCATTGCTGAGAGTCAGATATTGGATTAACCAAGGTAAACAACCATTCCTGGAAAGTCTACTTCCAACAATTTATTTCAAGATCCTGTTAAGATTTTTGTTTGTTTGCCACTTTTGTTTTGTTTTGGTATTATTTTACCATATAATGATTTGTCTTGTTAGATATTTAGCTTAGTGAGTGAGTAAGATATAGTCTTGGAGTATATTTAGCCACATTTTTCTTCCTTAACATCTAAAATAATGAGTTTCCTCATGCTATGAGCACAGTAACTCTACCGAGAAATATTTTTTAAGATATTTTTATTTCCATTTTATTTTCCACTATTGCCTAAAAATATCGTCCTTTTTGCAAAAAGTGGTGGCTATATCAAAAATGTACTCTCTGAGAAGAATGGAGCTATCAGCTTATTTTTGACATCAGTGATTTTCTGCACTGTTTCCATCTACAATTCTTTACAGTTGATTGCAGATTAAAAGATTGGAAGTGTGGGGGTGGGGGAGGAGGTGGATGGAAATTATTCTCTGAGCATATTTATTATGCCAACAATGCAACTTAATGCATCTTTAATGCTGTACAATTAAGTAGTAAAATTTCTCATAACTAGATATGTTCTCAGTCAGTGGGTATTACTGAAGATAATTTCAAGTAACCTGGGGATAATTTGGCTAACTGGGAAGCCAGGATTAACATATAAAACATTCAGTTTAGGAAAAATTGATGTACTCTTCACATTAATTTTCAGCTTAACTATATTGGGAAATGCAAATTTATATACAACCTGAGGATAAAATCCGTAATTCTTTTGTTTTTTAAAAATAAAATGTATAAAGATAAAATATGGCAACTAAAAAAATAGTTCCCCAAGCAATAATTTATTAATTATTTTTTAAAGGGTTAATTAGCTTTGCACAAACTTAAGAATTTTACTTACTGTGCTTTACTGGTTTAATTTAAATTCCCAGTCCTCATTTGCATTCCTTGCCCATGTTTTATTTTCTCCATTTTTTTCTGTCTCACTAGTATTTCTAGAGGGTGTTTGCAGTGTTGAGGGGTCAATGTATCAGCCACACGTAAGTAGATTTATCAAATATTCACTGCAATTCCCCAACTCCAAATTCTGATCATATTCTATGTTCTTGGCATAATTTTGAAATTGTTTATGACAATAAGAAAATCATACATATTTTAAAAATACTATATATAAGCAATGTACCCTATCTAGGAGTACATAGAGATGGACAGAAGGAAGATAGAGTTCAGGTAATTAAGTAGTGGGGGTGTTGTTGTTGGTGTACTTGTTTAAATTTGTACTACATTTAGCTATGATTTGGGAGGTAGCATATAATGCTATTGAAGGAAGAAGCCCAAGCTGCACTAAAGGAATGGATGAAAAACAAAGGTCCAGGAAATGACAGAATACCAAATGAGATGTTACAAGAAACAAGTTCAGCATTAGAGGTAATCACGCATTTATGCCAAGAAATTTGGAAGACAGCTACCCGGCCAATCAACTGGAAGAGATCCTTATTTGTGCCTATTCCAAAGAAAGGTGATCCAAAAAAAATGCAGAAATTATCAAATATCATTAATATCACACACAGGTTAAATTTTTCTGAAAATAATTTAAAAATTGTTTCAGCAGTACATTCACAGGAAACTGATAGAAATTCAAGCCACATTCAGAAGAGGAAATGGAACAAAGGACATCATTGCTGATGTCAGATGAATATTGGCTGAAAGCAAAGATGTTTACCTGTGTTTTATTGCCTGTGCAAAGGCATTTAGCTGTGTGTATCATAACAAATTATGGGTAACATTGCAAAGAATGGGAACTGCAAAATACCTACTTGCAATCAGGAGGAATCTATACATATACCAAAAGGCAGTTATTCGAACAAAAGGGGATACTGCATGGATTAAAATCTGGAAAAGTGTGCATCAGAGTTGTTTCCTTTCACCATATTTATTCAATCTATGTACTGCACAAATAATGTGAGAACCTGGACTATATGAAGAAGAATGGAGGAAGACTCATTAACAACCTGTGATATGTACATGATACAACCTTGCTTGCTAAAAGTGAAGATGACTCGAAGCATTTACTGATGAATATCAAAGACTATGACCTTTGTTATGGACAATACCGCAACACAAAGAAAACAAATATCCTTACAAGTTAGGACCAATAAGTATAATCAGATAAGTGGAGAAAAGATTGAAGTTGTCAAGGATTTCATTTACTTGGATCCACAATCAGTGCTAATGGAAGCAGAAGTCAAGAAATCAGACACATGTTGTTGTTAGGTTGCATCAAGTCTCATAGAGACCCTATATACCATAGGACAAAACACTGCCTGGTCCTGCACCATCCTCACAATCCTGCTATACTTGAGCCCATCGTTACAGCCACTGTGCCAATCTGTTTCATTGATGGTCTTCTCTTTTTTCACAAATCCTTTACTTTACCACACATGATATTCTTTTCCAGGGAATGGTTCCTTCTGAAAATGTGACCAAAGTAGGTGAGACAGTCTGGTCTTTCTTGCTTCCAAGGAACATTTAGGCTGCACTTCTTCCAGGAAAGATTTGTTCATTTTTCTGTCAGTCCATGGTATTCCTTGTATTCGTTACCAACACCACAATTCAAAGGCATCAACTCATCTTCAGTCTTCCCTATTCATTGTCCAGCTTTCACATATACATGTGGTGATGGAAAATACCAATCACATGATGTATATAGCATTGGGCAAATCTTCTATGAAAGACCTCTTCAAAGTGTCAAAGAACAAATATGCCAATCTGAAGTCTATGGTGCACTGGCCAAAGCCATGGTATTTTCGTAAGCCTCAAATGCATGTGTTAACAAGACAATGAATAATGAAGACCTTGGAAGAAGTGAAGCATTTGAGTTGTGTTGGTGAAGAATATTGAATATACAATGGGATACCAGAAGAACACACAAATCTGTCTTGGAAGAAGACACTCAAAATGCTCCATATAGAAGGGAGATTGGCCAAACTTCATCTCTTATACTTTGGTCATGTTATCAGGAGAGACCAGACCCTGAAGAAAGATATCATGATTGGTAAAGTGGAGGGTCAGTGAAAAAGAGGAATACCTTCAATGAAATGGATTGACACAGTGGCTGTAACAATGAGTTCAACCATGGCAATGATTGTGAAGATGGCACAGGACCCTGCACTGTTTCTTTCTGTTGTACATAGGGTAGCTATGAGTTGAAACCAAAACCTAACAGCATCAAGTGGCAATGTGCTTGTCTACAATTACACTGTGTTTGTTGTTGTTGTTGTTATGTGCCATCAAGTCAGACCCGACTCATACTGTATTTAGCTACAATCAATTTAAAAACTGGACTCCCTGTCAAATGTCAGGGACCTCATAAAGTGACAAGAAATTGCACAACCAACCATTCCTCTTTAGATTAGGGATGCATTTGTTTTGGGTATTCTTCATGGAAAATGAAACAACATGGAAACTACGAAATATGATCGTAACCAAAGTGCAATCTGTGTATCTAATGCTCATTTAACTTAAAAAAGTATACTAAATATATCATGAATTGCCTTGAACTTAATTATTGGAATGAATTGATCAAATAACCATCAATATGCATGTTGCATTATTACAGAGGAAATAATAAAAAAATTAAATAATTGATCATAAATAGTGTTCATTTTGATATTTAAAATATATGCTTCAAATGATCTAATAATTTTCATTGTCAAATAGTCACTTCACAGGTAATTGTATTTAATTTTTTTAAATATATTTTTTCAAAAAAAGGGTTTTTTAGTTAATTCAAAACATACATTTATTATGATTGAAATCCTGATGAGTATGATTTTTTAAATGACAAATATGATCTCATATGATTTATCTTTTGATTGTGGATGCATTCATTTTAGGCATTCTTTATGTAAAATTTAACAATGTGGTATTGAATAGCACTGGTGTGAAAATGAACAAAACAATAGAACATGAAAGAATATATATGCAAAAATTCAGTGATAACCAGAGAAAAACTTTTGCTTTATACATGATCAAATGTGAACAGAATAAACTTTATTACAAAGCATTTTATATTAAATGGAGATAACACAGTTAAACAGGAGCTCTGGTGGGGTAGTGCTTAAGGCATGTGACTGCTAAACAGAAGGCTGGTGGTTCAAACCCACCAGCCACTCCTCTGAAGGAAGGTTGGGCAATCTACTTTCATAGTGATACCACCTTGGAAACCCAAGGAGGGTCACTATGAGGTGTTTCTGACTCGACAGCAGTGAATTTTTTTTTTTTTTGGTTTAACACAGTTAAATCCATGAAGAAAATTTTTAATGAATTAAGTTTTAAAGTTGATAGTTATTTCTTCTTTTGAATTTTAATGGTTATCCTGATTTAAATCAAATATGCTTAAGATTATAAAATATAACTTTTTCCTCCAAATTGTTAGAGAGAGATTTTGATGACATATTTTGCAGCAATATATATTAAAAATAACAAAAAACAAACAAAAAAGGAAAATATTCCTCATATGTTGATACTTACTTAGCATGGCGAATATCTGGCAGGGACCTTTCTAGAGCAATATTGTTGCTAACGAAAATATTAAATCCATTCTCCCTGTAAGCTGAGTCATCATGGTCCTCTTCAGTGAGGGGGTATGGTTTCCCATGTTCACCCTTCCCTATTAGGAAAAAACAAAAGAGGATTTTGTTATCATTTTATAATTTTTAAAATAGTTTCTCTTGTAAATAACTAAGGGGCTCTCATGGTGTAGTGGTTAAGACATTCATCTGTTAAAGAAAAGGTCAGTGGTTCAAACCCATCAGCCACACCAGGGAAGAATGACAAGGCAGCTTGCTTCCGTAAAGATTTACAAACTTAGAAACTTAATAGTAGTCACTATAAGTCAGAATCGACCGAAAGGCAGTTTTTTTTTTTTTTTTTAATTTAGAATTACTAAATATAATCAATATAAAAAGTAAATAACACAGAGGTATATGAAACATTAAGTTTCATGACATACAGAGAGAATGACAGCTAAGATTTCAAATCTAGGTTTCCTAACATTGGTATGCAGATATTAACATTTTACTTTTTAAAAATAGGTTCTAATGTACATATAGCTTTATAATTTGAATTTGTCATACCTAATTGGAAGATGAGACAATCTACTTTTGTAAAGATTTACAGCTTTGGAAACCCAATGAAAGTCACTATGACTCAGAATCAATTTGATGGCAATGGGTTTGTTTGTTTGGTTTAATTGTATATCAAGGTCATCTTTTCATTCATTTCTAACAGTTGATATATTTTATTGTATCCCAATTTACACTTTTCCACTGAAAATATACTTTTAGATTATTTCTACTTTTCACCAATACCAAAGGGGGGAAAATAAAAACACGTTACTACGAACATCTTTGTCTATATTTTCCCAGTTATGTATGGTTTGAAGACGACAGTAATTTCCTAGAAAAGGAATTGCTATTTTATTTTTTAAAAAATAAGTATGATAGTTTCACATATCCTCAGAAATATTTCCAAAATCACTGTGAAATATATAAATGTTGTTTTTGTTAGTTACCATCGTATTGATTCTAACACATGATGACTCAAAGTGTTGCAGAGTAGAACTGCTTCATCTGGTTTTCAAGGCTTTGTCCTTTGGAATCAGATCAATATACTACCTTACTTCTGAGATGCCTCTGTCTGGGTTCAGACCAACAACAGTTAGATTAGCAGTTCAGTGCTTAATTATTTGTGTTACCCAGTGACTCCTAAACACATACACACACATACATTTAGAGAGAAAGAAAGCTATATATGTCAGTATACATTACTCACAGTTTAATTGTATATGGTACTCATTCTTTAATATGATTTCCAATACAATTAATCATATCTTATATCATATCTGATATACTAATCATTTTTATTTCTTACATTGTGAATTGATTTTTCAGTACCTCAAAAAATAATTTATAAGATTATGTATATTAAGCTCATTAAACCATTGTCAGTTTCATATGCTGAAACCATTTCCTGTTTACTTAATTTATTTCTGCTTCAATTTTCTTTTTTCATTAAGGTTATTTTATTTTTCTTAATTAAATGACCTGATATAGAAGTTCTTAGAGAGAAATTGTCCATTACTCCAAAAGTTATTTTTAATATTCATTCATGAATTCAGAATTTTACTAACATTTTATTGTTTTTTTCCATTAATATCTTTAGGTATCTGGAGATTGTTTGGTGTGAGAAATTAGGTAAATATTAAATCTATATTTTGAGAAATAGTCAAGCAGTTTTAGGGATAAAATTTATTGAATAATGAATCGTTCACTTTTCTCTTTTAGAATGCTGTATACAAAATTTTTGTATATTTCTTTGTTTCTATTTAGGAATTTCCATGAAATTCCTCTCATCTGTCAGTTCTCACTCTGGAAACACTATAGCACCAAAACACAAGTTAATAATTGGCTTGTTCACTTCTCACTTATCTTACTATTTTCAGACTAATATCACATATTTATTTGTCTATGTGAACTTTAGATTCATTTTACTGTTTAACAAAATGTCTCTTGGATTTTGATTGAGAATCCACTGAGTTTATTGTTTTACTCTTGGAAAATTGCTATATTTATATACCTTCTTAGCTATTTTTCAAGCTCTTTTCACTTGGATCTCAGTGAAGTTTCATGAAATTTTCTTTAATTTTTTTTCTAGGTATGTTTTTTTTTTTTCTATTGTGAACAGTATCTCTTCTTTTATTACATATTCTATGTGACACACACTAGTGCTATTGATTTTTGTATTTATTTTTAACCAGCCACTTTACTGAACTCTTATTTTTTTTCTAATCATATTATTATGTCTATTGTTTTCTAGTATATAATCATTTTTATCTAAAATAATAATACTTCCTCTTCTTTATTCATGGATACCTGATATTCAGTTGTCTAATTCTATGGCTAAAAATAAATAACTTGAGTTATTTCACATTTATGATAATGTTGACTTAAATGTGATCTCCCTTATGCATTTTAACAGTAAGCTAAATGATTGATGTGTATCTGTGTGACTTTATAATTCAACATGTTAAATAATCTATCTAGTGTCTTTTAGCTAAAAACCCTTTTTCATGAATGTTGTGTATATATTTTGCTAATTGCCTTTGAGTTATACTAAAATTCACCAAATACTTTTAAAAATTTATAGAGATTATCATATTTTTCACCTTTTGACTTTTAATTGTTCAGAAGCATTACTTGGTTTTAATCACTGAAATTAAATATTTAGTGAGGAAATTTGTTTTCTGTATCAGTGCTATCACAAATTAAAGAAATATTTTTTTTATTTTTTCAGGTTCTAGCTTCAGCGCTAATGACATTAACTTCAGTAGAGCTGACAGCCAAGATCAAAGTGCTGGAGATTGATAAGGGATTACATGGTCAAACAGCAGACTGAAAATCTCTCCAATTTCAAGTGGGAGAAAGAAACTTTTAAGTGTTTTACTTTTGGTCTCAGGTAAAAAAAAAAAGAAAAGAAAAGAAATACTGGATCTCCCATAGTTCCTTGTAAAATGCCCCCAACATGAGTATTCAATACCTTAAAGAACTGAATGGAAAACATTTTTTCCTGCACGTGATAAGACTGCTGAAAGTATCTTAGAAACAACTTGTAAATTAACTCTGGCCTGTGAGACATGAGCAATAGGGCAGAAAGGAACAAAAGTTAATCAGGGACCCTCTCCCCTCTGCCCAAGCCCCTATTAGCTGATGACAGAAAGCTAGTGTGATTCATTTGCTCCAGTGCAATTGTCACCTATTTCACGTTTAAGCCCCAAATTCTTCAACCTTTTGTGAATATGCATAACCCCCTCTCCTGAAACCTACAAAAACTGTATTTCTAACTACCCCTACTCCTTGCATTGCTGCTTTGCAATAAAAAATTTTCTCTCCTCTCAATCTTGGTGTGTAAACTGTTTTGGCCTGACTGCTACCCCGGCAGCAACCCTTGTTTGGTCCTATAGCAATTACTTTTCAAAGTAAATGGAAAATTAGTAGGTCAGAGGGAAATTTCATTCACACAATGGCTAATTACTGAGCATACACTGGGTATAAAGTATTGTGTTAATTGCCTTTATATACATTTTGACTAAACAAACTAAACACACTATGGAGAACATATTCTACCCATGTTCCTTGTAAGGAAATAAAATAGAGAACAATATTTTAACTAAGCTCTTCAATAATTAGCAAGTAGTCATTGAATCTGGGGAAATAATTTAAAGATCCCAAACCGTCTCCCGTGAGTGACCGAAGTCCATTACAGTCTTCTGACCTCATAAAATCTTTGCTGTGAACTTGATTTGCAACGCATGTCATAAATCCTACTTAATAAGGAAGAAATAGCAGTCTTTGCTTTCTTTACTAAATTTGTATTTTTTTGAAATTCATATACTCTAAGTGACACACACATACACACATATATACACCGCACACTCATCTGTTTGTTTTTTTTTTCCTAAAACACTTTTAAAGATAGAGTTAATGTTGGACACTTTTAAGACTACAAATATAAAATTCATTAACACATCAATTAACCTAAGTTAAAACTTTTTCTTTGAACAACAATTTCATTTTTACACTGATAAATCTCCTGAGACAGGGCTTTTCAAATGAGTGAGTGATTCTCCAAATTTATAATACAAAACCTTGTGAGTCACCAATTAAGTCACACTACAAATTTCTTCATTACTGTTTTGAGAATAGGTTTTAAAATTTTACGTTCTCATGCATAGAGCCAGAAGTTTTTACTGCAAATGCTACCAACTCATACCATTTAATATACAGAGCCTCAGGTCTGTAATATCTCATGTTTATACATTGTCTTTTCTTTTCATTTTTAAAAAAAAAAAAAAAGACAACTGCTTTTGGATACCATCAAGTGGATTCCAACCCATAGTAACCCTATGCAAAACAGAAAGAAACACTGCCCAGAACAAAACACTTCCTGGTCCTACATCATCCCTACAAGCATTGCTTTGTTTAAGCCCACTGTTGTCACCACTGTGTCAATCCTTCTTGTTAAGGGTCTTTCTTTTTTTCACTTACTTTATAGATTGACAAGCATGATGTTCTATGCCAGGGACTGCTTTCTTCTGCTAACATATCCAAAGCATGTGAGAAAAACTCTCACAATCCTCACTTTGTCTAAGACAGATTTCTTTGTTTTTCCGGCAGTTCATTTAATATTTTTCACCACCGTGATTCAAAGGTATCAGTTCTTTATTCTTCTTTATCCATTGTACAGCTTGCAAATGCATATGAGACTACGGAAAATGCTAAGGTTTGCGTCAGGCCATCTTAGGCCTCAAAGCGACATCTTTGCTTTTTAATATGTTAAAAAGATCTTTAGCAGCAGATTTGCAAAAACAATACATCATTTGATTTCTTGGCTATTGCTTTCATGGGCATTGATTGTGGATCTAAGTAAAATGAAATCCTTGACAACTTCAATCTTTTCTCCATTTTTCACAATGTTACTTATTGGTCCTGTTGAAGGATGTTCATTTTCTTTCTGTTGAGGTGTAATCCATAATGAAGGCTGTAGTCTTTGATTTTCATCAGTAATTGCTTCAAGTTTTTTTTCACCTTTAGCAAGCAAGGTTGTGTCATC